TGAAACCATATAAAAACCCCAATCCATAAACATAATCACGTCCAAAATTATTAAAAAAATATCTACTGTCCAAACAACCCTCACGAATACCGCTCAAGCACATCAACGTCATGCTTCAAAAACGTCATCCTTCTCAAAAGATTTCTACATGACGAGTATCACAAATGAAATTCTCGGGATTTTTCTGCAAATTCGTCTAAAACGTGTCGGCAATCGAAAAAGTCCAAAAATGTAATCATGAAATGTCACGTTTCCTGCGCAACAACGTGCATGACCTGGTGATATGACATAATAACTTTTATTTCCTCTTCGAGAAAGGCGTAAAGACATCTTAATTTGATTGAACATTGATGTCAGCATTGACTAGGTGGTTAGCATATATGCAAATTTAATCAATAGTACATTAAAATACACAAGAACTATTGTTAGTTCAAGCTTGATTGCTAACTAGAAAATCAATCAAAGACAATAAGTGAATATTGATTACTATTGCACCAAGAGGTTTTAATTAAATTGAATGTGGTAAATTAGAAAAGGGACTACAAAATACCTCTGACCAATCAAACCTCACTAAATGAATTTGAATAAAAATAACTATAGCAGCTAAATATCTTCAAACAAAAATCATGTTTGAATAAAATTTTTGAATCTGAGCAGTGAAATACATACAAGAGATACAAGAGATTGCTTACTAATACATTTAATTGAAATTTTTTCTCTTGTCAGTTTATTAATTTAAATTTTTTGAATATGCTCATGTCAATATATTATTTTAATTTATTATGGTGCAGCTAAGCTTCTTGCCATTATCATGTTTGTATTCTTGCTTGGGTATGACAGAAGTAACAATATTTTTAAAATAACCCTTTATTATCAAAGTTTAAATATGAACAGCCTAAAAATTGAAACTAACTTGAAAAATTCAACTGAATTATTGTGTTTAAAAGCACACATTCCTAGTAGATATAAATTCCAATTAAACATCTTCAACTTGCCATATTATTGATCCAACAATATGAGCGACTCAATCTCAAAGTCAAAATAACTCTAGTATACAGTTTCACTTTTAAAGACCAGCTTCGTTACCACTTATGGTAGCAAGCACCGTTCATTCATGAGAAAAATCCAAACTAAAAAAAATACAACAGGTTGGGTCTCGTACTAAGTTCACCCCCATAAACCCCTAATCCCTAAATAATAAGATTATATAGTATAATTAAACAGTGAAGCGACAGTGCCTAACCAAAAAAGGTATCTTCGAAATATTTTAGGTAATAGCAGTAATAAATTTGTCCTGTGCATAGTTTCCTTAGAAGGCATGCATAAAATATGAATAATTCGGACTAAATTCAGATCTTTAGTAAAATAAAAACATTTTAACATATTTGATACAATAGCATGAGATAGTATGAAACATAACATCCATTATAGATAACCCTATATTATTAAATACTCCAGCAAGAATCATAATTTCTAAAACAATCTGATAATAACTAGGCTACATAAAACTGAAAGTATAATGCTTGCAAAATTAAAACTGAGATTAATCCTTTCACAAAATTCAGAATACACAAGCCAGTATAATTGGGATTTCATCAGACCGCAATTGTATAGCGAGAGGTATATAATACATATTGAACACAAGTGCACTCATCTAAAAATACCTTCAATTTTGTCCTAACGTCTATTACTCCCTTGTATTTACTATTCAAACTCAGCATCCCAATTAATAAATTAAATTATTTCACTATATTGCCATGACCACGTTTCTAATCTATATGAATACATTTGACATCTTCAAGACACACTAAATAACAATTAGCAATTACTTAATCAAAATTAACTATGCAACAGTTTATGACAAAAAATTATTTCATATGTTTAGTTATTAAGTTACATTGTAATTGTACATTAATTTCTGTGTAAAAAAACTAAAAAAACATCAAGCGAAATCTAAATTCAGAATAAAGTGACATATGATATGATATTCCTATTTATAACAATATTTTTTATTATTTATAAATCAGTAAAATGAACTGAATTTCTTCAAACTTTCTTTCTGAAATCTTCGATCAGCATTTAAAAACAATCTTCTATTCAGAACACAATTTCTTATCAATATGCAATATTCAGATATGTATGTAAGGTACAAAAGTCCCATAAAAACATGAAATGCTACATTTGCCAAAAAAATTAACTACGCACTGCATGAAGAAGAAACATGGCAGCGAACCAAAACAATTTGTGAAGGTGCATTTGATTGCGTCACAAACGCCATCTCAGGAAATGTTTGACATTTTGATGAATGATGAAAACAATTACATCATGTTATTGGTGAATATGTATTGATATTTTTTAATAGTTTTTTAGGATTTTAATATTAAAAGATCAATTTGAATGTAGACATGTTTTCGTGTATGGACAGATTGGTCAATTACGTTAAGTGTTATCTATATAAGGGCAATTAGGTATTTTACAATTCTTTAGCCATTTGTACTAAATTATACTATTTTAGACCTATCAATCAGCAAAATCATTGAGTTGAAGACAAATTTATTAAATCTTGCAAACTTTTAAAATTTAGAGTATAATATGATTAAAAAAAAAAATTGACAGATTCAATTTCGCTATAGACCAATTTTACATATACAGTTGGATAAATTTTTTTAAAAATTGAGTAGAATGAAACAATAGTTAAGCAAATGCATTTATGCTGTTGAGGTTTGAAATCAACAGCCATTACTAATCCTATTTTTTTTGTAATCTGTTGAATTTTCAAAACATCTGCTCAAAATACAAACCAAACAATTAAAATTGAACCCACCCAAAGGGTAGACATCTTGACGCAAAAAATAAGGGAATGGCAACCTTTAAAACGCTCAATATTAACTCGATTACCATCTAAAAAAATCTTGAATTCTCGTCTGAGCTAAAATTTTAACAAGGAGTACCTTTATCACCTGCCTTCAATAAATGTTACATCTCGTCCCTTCAGTAAAACATATTAAGCACACAGATTTTGTTTACCAAGAGATGTGCTAGTGTTATATTGACAGCGAATTCAAATACTAATGTCAATGGGTAAACCATATTAAATCTTGTTTAAACATAGGTCATGTCTATATTGGTCGGTCCAAAGAATTTGATCACAACAAAAATAAAAAGTAATTCAAAGTATTTAATTAAAGAAAATATATTGGAAATAAAAAAAAACGTGTTGCATTGAAATCATGAAATTGTTAATCATAAAAATGAATAACTTAAAAAAAATGTTTGTGTTACTCCAATTTTGATTATTTAGCATAATTCAATTGTCTGCAAAATCTTGTTATATGCCATATTTTACTTCATAAATTTTCCTACAAATTAATTATTTGAGATTACCTCATTATTTTACTAAAACTAGACTTTTCATACCAAAATTTTGTGTAATATTCGAATTTTAGACATTCAATTTTAATGTGAGAATTTCCAAAAAGTACAAATTCAAGGTAACATTAAGTTAATAGGCTAAGAATTTGAATTCTTTCTACAATTCTGGTGTATACTATTCCTTTTATCAATGTATGTTGTCATATAATAGGACTTGCTCAAACTTATGATCATTACTATAAATTATAGTAATGAGATCACTAAGAATAGAAAATGAATAAAAACAACAAGTAGATGTATCACGTATATATGATTCTCTATTTGACTCTATTTCCAACTGAAACCAGTACTTATAAAAGCAAACTCCACTCTTCAACAACATGACATATAAATTTCTTAAAAAATAACCAGTCGGCTATGCATAATAAATATATTGCTGCTTAAATTCTAACATACAGACTACAACACTTCACTGACAATCTAATAGCAAATGCATGCAAAAGCTTATAACAAGGCAGTCATAAGATATTCAAAGAGACTTATTTCCTGTATTTGACGGCTTCCTATTTCCTTCCTAATTGTGTCGCACGCATGTATGCCCGCAATTCAATGCAATTGAAATAAATTACAAAGAGAGAATAAGGAGAATTATGCCATTAGGTCGGCATTTGATACTCGAGTGCTAGTGTTTACAATTGATTGCTTTCACGAAATACGACAAGCAAATTTGATATGCAGAAGCACAAGAATTAAATATACAGGGTATCCATAAAATTCCTTTACAATTTCAAGTTTGTTATGAAATCAATATATGTTAACCAGGTTTGTTTTTTGGTTTTAATTAATCAGAAATTGTTCAAGTATTTTTACTTCTATAAGGTATTGATAAATTCCTATTGCAATTTTGAAAATTTCAAGTCTTTATGTACTGGACCCTGTCCCTATGGCCTATATAATCATGGCTTTACTTCATATTCAATCCAATTCTATATTAAAATCTAATTACTGTAATGACATTCAAGTTGAGTGTATCATACACAAATTGAAGATGTTTTCTAATTAGATTCCATCCAAGCTGACGTTATACAAACTTTAATCTATGTAATATTATGGATAGCATCACCACCAAAGGCATCATTTTATATAAAAAAAAATCTTGGCCAAAAAAATCGCTTTTCTAGACTAGATTAAGTACAAAAACTGGAAACTATTCTATGCGAGTCATTGTTAAAATAATTATTACCATTGAAAAGTGCCTGTGTACAAATATTTCAGAAACTCCATCTATCCTAATACTATATATTAAAAACATAGCTAATTGGCTAAAGTAAATATACATATATTTTTTTATACAGCTAGATGGATCTATTCTGCAGCTCCTATATATTGATGATGTTGTGTATAACTGAATTATAGCAAGCAGGAGCATATCACTACATAATGAAAACATATCCACTTGACTAGTAGATATTTATACAGCATACGGCTATTTATAATGCAAAGCAACATATTCCACAAAGTTTTTTACATCGGCCCGAACATAATCAAGGTATGTTAAAATATGACTCATATAATAATCGGAAGTTGGTGATAAAATCCCACACAAGTGTACAATAAAGGTTACTCACTCTTCGTTTTTCCTCATCCTTGCGTTTCTTCTCTTCGTCTTTTGCTTTTTGTTTCATAAGTTTTTCTTCTTTGGGAGTATAAGCTGATGTAAACTCCCGATAACCTGCCATACCAGGATGCAACAGTTCATGACTGGTTCCTCGCCTCATTCCCTGTAAGAAATAGCGTTGATAATATTATGCCTATATGAGAAATTTCATATCACAAAGTTAGCATATGATAGTGATAATAATTTATATTCAATGTCATTTCTCAAAGTACACTTTGCAGCCAAAAATATTGAACGTAAAATCAAATTACAAGGGAGCAGACAAAACTACGAGGTTTGCTGATTCCTAAGGGAAATTATGACTGTTGGCTGTTCAGGTTCAGGATAGTTCAGACTCAGCACCATATTTAGAACTTCAGATTAATTCTGTCCTATTTTAACTTGATAAACTCTATATTACAATAAACTTGATACTGAAGAATAAACAAATCAAGAAAACTGGATGGTTAGTTCAATTATAGATAGCAGGGCAACGGAGTCGGGGTTTTGCATGTTTTTATTGATCCTGGAGTCAGAGTAACTCCCCAAAAACAGTTGTATTTTTGGGTAGAGATTTTCAGATCTTCAATGGTGCAACAGTAACTCGAGGATTGAGTTGACCTAGCATTTTTAACAAATGCTTCGAGAAGGCTCGAAAACGCCAAGGTTTATATTATCAATGTTTGGTTTTCTTGCAGTTCAGGGGTTTTCTTGGTAAACTTCGAGTTGTAAGTCAGCAACCATGTTAAAAACACTTTGTTCAAGCGAGGGAAATTACCACCCCGGAACCTCCAACACCATTAATTGCACCAAAAAACAACTAAAATTATTTAAAACGAGTCTGAATATTAGAAAAGTGAAATTAATAATAAACGATATTTTTGATGCCCAGGTTGATCAAATTCTGAATGTATTTGGATTTTTAAAATTTTAAGTTACATGTGTACTGCTAAAAACAATTCATTCAAAACTTTACTTCAAATCAGTCAGATACGATATATGCTTGATGTACTTTTAACAATGCCAATAACATTTCCAAAACAACTTACAGCATTGTGATGTTCCACGTCCAATTTGGATTCTAGAATGCCAGCAGTAGAGTATCTGTTACTTCTATGATTTCCATTGGTGCTTGAATCCCCTGAATCTTCAGCACCTTTCAGCGGAGTTTTCTTCGATTGTTTGTATGGTGTTGGACGTCGAGTAATAACACTACTGAGAGCGCTAGTGGAAGCACCGTGTTTGGAATGAAAAAATTTGGACAGGCTGTGCGGAGATGCGGCAGATTGAATAGATTGATGGCTGTGAGTAAAGAAATTCAATAAGAGAAAACAGTATTATAAGGTTAGGTTACGAAAGCGTATTTCGTACTACAAACAAGATTTAATACTCAATATAGAAGCAGGAATAATGTCTCCCGATTATTTAATTATGGCAATTCTATTTAACCGGTTATATAAAACCTGACAAAAATCGCAAAAATTCGGCAAAAAAACGTGAAAAAAATGTGCAAAAACCACGAGAAAGCATCAGTGTTACTATGTTTTTGATGTTTATATAATTTATGATCCCAAAATCATAGTTTGAAACAACATTTATCAAAGCATTTCATTAAAAAGTTAGGCAAGGTAAAAAATCCCCCCCCAAAAATTTTTTTTTTATTTACTCAACACAGATTTTTCAGGTTTCATCTTTCTGAGTCCTCAGACACTAAAACAATCAAAGAGTACTCCCTAGAAAATCCCAAATAAAAACATGAAAACATTGTTATTAAGTGCTTACCCTGAATCTTTTGTATCGTTTTTCTGTCCTGTAGGAAGATCTAATTGAGGCAGCACCCTTTGACCTGTCTTTTGGGATCAAAAACCATGTATGGAGGATTGAAATCTGTAACTCCTTCTGTGAAACTTTTTTGATGAAAAAGTTGTTGAGACTTGGACTGAAACAAAAGGATAAAATGAAATGAAATGGATATCTTGTTGAATTGGGGTAAATTTTCAATAGTGTTCAATTCTAATGAATGTTCCCTTAAAAAACACAGGTTCACTATGCTGAAAATAAATCTTGAAATAGACGAAAAACTGCTTAATGGTTATAAAATTTTTCAAAACTTGGAATTTTTTGAAATCTCATTTTTATGTAAAATGTCAAAAATTTGCATTTCGAATCATGTCACTCTCATCCAAAATATTTATTCAAAAACAGCGATTAGAAGCTCAAACAGCCATATAGATCGATTCAAAAGTCATGTTGCACACTTGTTATTATGACTGCCTCTAGCTCTCTTTATCCGTCCATTGCCAGGCCTATTTAGTTAATGTAATTCAATTTTATAGCAAGGAAAATAATTAATACAATGGTTACAAATTTCATCCAAACTCTGTGGTTTGTGCATACCAGGGCTATTAAAGACTCTTATTGACAATGTATTGTAAATAAAATTAAACAGTTTATGTCTATATCCAAATTACAGACTAATGCAATTCAATTATAAAGGAAGAAAAAAATTGACATAATGATTTTTATCATTCGTCATTCAATGTTCCCTCCAAATAAAGCTTCGTATATTGTGTATACTACGGCTACTAGTCACCACGAGGGTAAAGACCTGGTAACATAGTGACAATATTTCAGAGTTTATATTTATATATCATACACATATTATAGCGTCATATTACCCGTGGTTTTCCCTGGATCACTGACGCCACCTTGTTGACAAGATCTGGGTTTAATTTGCCAGGCATTGAACCGCTAGATTGTGAGCTCGAGGTTGAAGATGGTTTGTTGTCTGTTGTGAAATTATTGACAGCAGGACCCTCCTGTGAAAAGATGAGAATAATGTATTTTTATCTTCATGTATTTTATAAGATTCTATAAAGTTGATGATTTTTTTAACACTATTCTGAATGTACTCAAACATTCATTCTGAACAATTCTCTACTTAATTCAAAACCAATTTTTGAATAACCATTATCTATATAATTCAGTCAGTACAGCTGACACAATTACATCTAATTGAAGCATAAGGCATGGGTGGGCTAGGCTGACAAATGCATTTAGTAGGAGCAACTTTAAAGTTGAGATGATTGTCTGATATATAGATTTATTACACTTCAACCACGATTTGACTACTGTATTGAACCTAAACTGCCTACAAAAACTCACACAATTTATGAGGTACAACCAAAATGAATACCAAAAAAGTATGATAATAAGAGATAAGGAGTACGAAAAGCCAATTCCTAATAAATAATAAAAACAGGCGAGCCTTGATGTTAGAGGTGTGAGAAATGCTATAATAAAAAAAGTTAATATTACCTCATTATCAAGTAACCCAGCAGTTGGACTCGTATTCGGCGTCTCTGGTCTGTAGTCTCCAGGAACTGAAAGACAAAACATTACATTGGCAATATAAAAACGCACAAATAAGATATATGAAGCCAATTTTATTCTATATCAACTTTATATACAAAAATAGATGTTATTAATTGAGACTACACAATGTATTCACAACAAACAGATCATTTCAAAATATAATAGCCTATTGTACCTATATTTTTTTTTCAAAACAGGCGAAAACGTCTAAAAATCATTATCTCAACTATTTCTATTTCATACACATTCAGCTCAATATCACGCTCACTTCGTAAAGTACGGACCGATAAAAGGTTGCATGTCATAATGGCACACAAAGAGATCAATTCAATAAGTCAACACTATTTAGAGAATAACTGGGCAATAGAATTTGAAAATAACTTTTAAATGCAGTCCATTGCATAATGATTCACAATATAACATATAAGAAAAGCTGATATTTATCAGCAGATATAGACATTGCACAAAGTAAATTACAGTAATTAACAAAGTAAGTCAACTGGGGAGTTACTTGGAAGTTTCCAAAGGAAGAAATACCATAGAAGAAAAGTGATATTTATTACCAGGGCTGTGGCCAACTTCAAGTTTCTTAAAAATATTTCGATGGCTTCTGAATACGGATTGCGAATTCTTTTGACTATACTCCAGCTCTGAACTACGAGAAACCAAATTGTGGAAGCAAAAACTTTGGCGCATGCGAGTTTCTTTATTTGCCTGATGAGAAATCTTAAAAATTTTGATGCTTTTTAACATTCTTTTGGAATTTCAAATCTGATCATAACCAATAATTCTGACTTCAATTCCGATCTCGTAAAAATCAAAATTCCATATCCAGCTCTAACTATGGTGCATTTAAAATTAGCACTCTGGCATCCGACTCTAAATCAATAAAAATATCCCAAACTGTTCGACTCCATAGCCATGCCTATTACAGGATATGATGCAGATACCGCATAAAATAAATGGGAATTACCACACCAGTGCCAGTTAGTTAAGATATTCAAGAATGAAAGTATTTTACCTGTAAGTAAAAGCATAATCTTGATAAAGACTTATATTCCCAATTTATTTCACTAATCCAATATCACAAATGATATTCTACTATTAGTATATGGCATAGTATCATACACTGTTGGGTCAGTATGAATGAAACAAATTGAATAGTGGTAACATACCAAAATGATATAATATATACAGGAACATAAAAAAAACTTGTATTGATGAAATGTCAGTGGTTTCACCAACTTTTCAATAGTGTTACATCTAAATCGAATTACCAAGAGCTCATTCACATCTTTCATAAAATACATTAGTCATACAGTGCTAGACTTGCACATGCTCAGCATTTTGGCCTACAATCTGTATGGGGAAGTATTGTTATTATGTCCGTATGAACTCGGCAACTAGATGACTATTAGCTAGACTCATTGACTAGATGCGAGCATTGAATGACCAGCTTTTCCGCAGACTAGTCAAAATTACATGGATTATAAAAGAAATTGTTAAAACAGTGAGAAAATTACTCCCAGTTGGGAATCACTGGGTTAGAGTGTTGTATCTATGCTGGCATCCCAGGTTAAAGATATCTCGTTAAATTCTTATCCCTTGCAGCTCACAAATGACAAACTAAATCGAGTACGCAATGCTAAACCAAAAATATTTCCACTCTTCCAACAATTATAGCTCATTAAGTATTTGTCTATCAGTGGATTCTCATCCTCTTTCAAGTGTACATGAGAATATTTGATAAAAAACTGAAAAAAAATATTCTGATTTCAATTCGAATATCTGTTACAGTTTTAACTATGAAGTTAACTTTACAGAAAATTTTAATAATAAAAAAAATAAAAATCTCTTAATGTTTTTCGATCATAAATACCGATATATATTTCAGTCAATTTAACGTATTCTGAACTGATCAAACAAATTGAAGATATATGTCTAACTTATACTAACTTTTGAAATGCAAAGTCTGATGTCTATATTCTAATCTCAATGTCCTTTAAATGACTAAAACACACTAGACATAGCCTATCATTTGCAGAAAATATATATATTATGACCAATATATTATAGGTATATAGGTATTACAGGTAACACTGACCTTTGCATGTAAAAAACAACCAGGTAGCATACATTCCTAATACAACCTAATTTCTTCCTATTACCGGGTACTTAAGAATACTTTAATCTCATCCACATGCCTAAGGATTGCATTAATAACTTTTAATCCCACCTCTCGTTAACAAAAACAATCAATGATATGGATTATTATAGCAAGTGGAATTAAACCACATTGGAATGATTGTGTCATAAATCAAGCCATTACCAAATATGTGTGTGTGATGAGCGTATCCTTCTTGCTATTAGTTGCAACCTGTACCTCATGCAATTGCAGAAATGATCCATTATGGCATCATAATGCATTTATATAAACCCCCTATGACACCACAATGAATTCCTCACATTTAGTAAATAGCCTGCTCAACTAAATCCTGCGTACGCCACTAAATTTCTTACATACCAAGCACTAAAATTTCCCTTCTAAACTCAGTTCAAAGTCACATAAGGCTTTCTATATTTAACAAAAACAATCGATATCCTCGAGTAGGAGATTGACTTCCAACGAGAGATCTAAATTATTCTAGTCAGTCGATTTCATTACATGCCAGTATATTTTGTCTTGGAAATGAGATCCCAAGGGAGACATGTTCTGAGGGAAATCAATAGTTTTTCTGATGAGAAAGAAAGGTTCTCATCATAGGTAAATGGTAGAAAATGTAATACACAGTACGTGATCCGAGACAGGTTTTGGATTATTCACTTTCTGATTTTGTTTATAAATAAAGTCTTGTTTATCAAACCATTTGTTTATCGGTAGGAAATCGCTTGTCCCCCTCCCAAAATTGTCTTACGTGGTGTGATTGGACAAAATAAGTAATGTAAACTGCGAAAGTACGGTAATATCTTTCCGATCAAATGTGAAAGATTTGGAACTAGTACTGAGACTAATCACCACAAAAATCGAGCCAAGATTCAATCTTTTGTGCAAGAATATACAAGCATAAAAGTCTCGTTGAAGGTATTATCAATTTTAACATCATTTTTTTTTAATATTTCCTGTATTATAAAACTTTATTTTCATTTAAGTTCCAGGGGGTTACCAAAAAATGTGGCCGTGCCAAGTGGTGAAGTGCGAAAAACATTGACATACACTTATTGGACGATCTTGTCACATTCCCATATTCATTCAATAGAATACCAACTCAATAAATACCCAAAACTTTCCAATACTTACTCTATTGATAGATTTTAGAACACTAAAATTGTATGTATGACTCATTTGGAATCAATAGCGATAATAAAAATGCCATATCTTATTTTATAAACTAAATATACACAGACCGGTATGGTAATTTTATAAAAGAGTATATGTCTAGCATTTCCTGACAGAAGTTTAACACAAAGCATACAGAATAAATTCACTTATACGAAGCGCAAAATTGATGTAAGATATAATAAGTTGAATACTAGAAATGCCTTGAAGAGGAGATAATAGATTTCAGTACTAGAGTGTCAAGTTGAAATATTTGCTACGCTTCTCATTGATTGACTACCCGAAATGAAATAATTATTTATTCAATTTTTGTAATGATCACAAAAATCAGTTTTCGTTATAACTATTTATCCACTATTAAGCAATCACTGTACACCAAACTGCAAAAAGATATGCAAATTTATATATATTTTTGGAAACTAATACTAGCTATGGCTTTTCAATCAATGCTACCGGTTTTGTAAGAAGTCAAAATCCATTAATCAAAGAACGCAGCCAGATTTCTGATTAATTTGGAAGTGAAGTAAACAGAGTGTCAAAGGAGTTTTTCATCAATCACCTTTTTGGATTTAACAATTTTTTATACACAGTGTTCACTCTGAGCAAGGGTCTGTATAGGCATACAATGATATGCAGGGATGTACTGATTTTATAAGACTTGGAACCTTTCAGACTTAGCATTGGCTATTCCAACCAGTTTGCCATGGCCCACAGCAACATTTTCATGTGGTCCATAAACCTATTAATAATTGTAAGAGTTATTGATAGTTTCATTTGTGAGACTATAGTAAAATTTTGATTGTAGTAGCAATGAATGATGACGATGTTTTTGGCTACTGCAAGTATTTTACATTCTAATTATTAAAGTGTGGACATAGCTTCTGCTTTTCTTTTAGTTTTTTCCTTGCATGAAAAAGTTAATGGGCCACGGGAATTTTTATGCAACAAAAATAGGCTACGAAAAAAAAGGTTAAGAACCAATGGCCTATCCAATTCATCACAAGAAAGTGATCAAGTTTAAAACTTGATTATCAAGGTAAATTCCAAATCCAATGAAATAAATTTTCCTTAATTAATTATGCTCCAGTGATGATAATGCCTGTAACACAAATTTAGGAAAATAAATATTGCATCACTGCCGCATTCAGCAGTTCAGGTATCGATTCAAACTTTCAATTTCAAGATTCATCCATCTGTTAAAAATGCCTTTTGTAGCAAATTTTACCCCATGAAATTTGATACGTATTACAAAAACAAACTACCTCATAATATACTACATTGACATGACCATATAAAACCCAAAGTGGTATTTTAACATTCTAATTATTTATAGGCATTCCTAAATATAAACATCCTAGCTACACTGAATTTTCAAATAAACTAAACTATACTCTCGATCTTTTAAAAAATTCCCTTGATTTGATACGCATCTTGCCTAGTACAGTACCCTCGATAGCGCTCGAATTTAACGCTTTTAGTTTTCTATTGAGAGCGTCAAGCTTGCATCAGTATTCAGGTCGGCTTTTCGATTTTAACAATGTTACGTCATTTCCTTGGTTGTCAAAACATATTCACGCGAATCAACATGACACTGTTACGTTTGATGGTGTATTTCTATACACCGAGCACGCTGGTTCTTTTTAAGTACGGCTGACAGATTGAGAATGCGAATCAATAGAAATACAGCCAGGAATAGATACGACATCAATAAACAGATCATGCGTGGATCATATCAAAATAACATTACAGAACACATGAGATTTAAACATGATACATTCAATAAAACTGCTTTCCGTTATATGACTTGACAACGCTGACATGTTGTTGAATAAACGACTTCAATAAGCAAGATCATGAACAGATCACAGTGAAATGTCATAATGAAATATCTGAGGCCTAAGTATGATCCATCAAAAAAACGCATTTTCATTCAATGAATAACCGAATTGAAGATGTTGTTACTTTGACCAAATGTGCTTTTCAATTTTAAATTGGATTTTTTGTCAGGTTGGAAATTTCAATGAAACAATAATTGAAATCGCAAAATCAGGCTTATAGAGGAAACCCCTGCTACCACATTTATATTATGAAAGAACAAAAAATCGAGTCTTATTTATCATGCTGTTGACTGGTCAAAACATTATTCTGTATTCTAAAATGGCCTGCCTAAAGAACGCCATATTATTGGTTTTTGATGTACGGGTAATTCTGCTTGAAGCAAAGCCAAATGATATTGCTCAAGTTAAAATAATTACTAATAAGACAGCTAGGGAATTCTCATACAATTTAATTTAATATCCTTCATACTATAAGTTGTTAATTGCTATTTGAAATAAAAATTGAGTGTTTTACAATTATTTGTATACTCTCAGTTACACTGTTCAGGTGCACTAACTAGGTTTTCATTAGTGCATTGGAAAACAAGTTAGTAACTTTAAACTGAGAGATAGTCTGTTAAACATTATTATAAAACAGAAAATTTAATTTTTCAGAAACTTTTTCACTTTGAACAAAAATCACAAGACATCAATGACTGTACAGTGCTTGCGCAGTGCCTTTTTCAGAGCAAAAAAACATTGAGCAACTTACCAATCCAACTAGATTCAGATTCGGTTGCAGGTGACACGGGAGTGTTGCGAGGCATTGGTACAGGTAAACTGACGTCACTCGCAGGTGATGACACGATCGATCCATATTTGAGCAGCAGACGGCCTCAACATTGGCAAAGATTCAGTGCTTGATGTAGCCGGAACACCGTTGACATTGAAAGATTTGTCCGGTGTGATCGGTCGAGAATGAGAATTTTCATCCTAATGGAAATTTTGTTATAATTATCATATTGCTACCTCTCTCTTACAGCTGCTTATACAGGGTTTTATTCATAGAGCAAATAACATTATGTATTTTTACCAATGTGAACGCCTATTTAAACATAAGTCAAGTTATGATTGTTGACAAGTGCCACACTAAATGGCTTGGCGGGCCAGGTTCTGGCCTGTCTGTCTGCACTCCCCTGTCCCATTAGAGCTAATAAATTTGATATCGTACATTATTCTGCATTTTCATCACAGAGTACATGTTAAAGACACATTCTTTCTTGCACTGCCTAAGAAAATGCATTTTGCCTTGTTTAATCAAAAAATTCAAATTATTCAAATGTTGAATGTGGTTGGGGAAAGATATCCACTCTATTCTGGAATCACTTATGTAATATTAACAAAAATCTGCATTGCTAAATTAAATTTTTAAAAATTAGTATTATTGAGTAAATAGACGAACCGTATTTGTAGATTTCGACAAATCCATGGCTAGTTCTAATCCACAATCATCGTCCATTTCAGTAGAGTTTCCTCCTTCTGCGACTGCTCTTGCAATGCTGGATAGAAAAAATTCATAAAGTTTGGCATTCAAGATTTCAGCCATGCTATTAAGGTAGATTTCGTATTTTCAGAGTACGATCGTTCAAGAAAATTCTGACATTTTCAATATCCTACTTCGTAATATCGTGTGTTGTATTTAAAAAAATTATACACTTCATACTATCAAATGACAGTAACCACTATGACAAGCGTCCTTGTTGAATATTTCCGGGCATTATTCCAGTCTAGAATGCATCTCAAATAACAGTAAACAATCAAAAAATTCCAACGAGCTTTATGAAGTCATAGACTTTCATATAGGTGTTATAAAAAATTTCCTCGAAAATAAAGAACAATGCCCAAATATAGGGCACAAAGCTACAAGAGGCTACGACCTCAACAGAGCATGCCGAAATTAGAAACTGACCAGTGTCACAGAATAAAATGTTCCCAGATAAATAAAATTGTAACCATGAATTAAAAATAAAAAAACTCAAATTGTCAGGTCTCGAAGAACAGGGGAAATTTCAAAAAAATGAAATAAGACAAGTACCTATTTATAGCTTCAGTTTGATCCTTATGCTCCCAAGCATCTTTAAAAAAAGTGGTATAAACTTCAGTTTGCTTGTTATGATTTGGTGAAACAGTCATGAACCTTGCCTGTCGAAAAAAAAGCATACCATGATTTTCACTTGGAGAATTGGAGAATGCAAAAAGTGAACGAACTGTGATATTGAATTACTAGATAAAATTTTAGCTGTGCTCATTGAAAGTAAAATATTTAATAAAAAATTAAAATACAGACATAACAATATCAATATAATCAGATAACAAAAACATAGGAACGATTCCGTAACTATAAATTCTTGAGTATATTTACCTGTAACTTATCAGCAAGTTTGTTGGCCTCAATGACAATTTTTTGAGTTTCTTGGTCGCGAAAAAAACTGCTCGAAAACGAATCTTTCGATTTGGATGACATACATACTATTTGGATTGGATAGGCACTGACAGTGTATTCGGCAAAAACCTATAAAATAAAAGTATGGAAAAAAATATTGAAAGCTCATATGATTTCTTATACCATGGGTGAAGTGGTACGCATCCATTGACTATTGGTAGGCCGACCTGGAAAGCTGGCTTCGGGCATGCGACCCTTAACTAGGTTATCAATATTTATCAGTGAAACTGATGAATAATCTGTTAAAGATTGATATCAAATTTGAAAATAAAATTTTTTTTTGAAATCGAATTGTTATAATTAGGTATACAAATGCTCAAACTGTGATAATGACGAAACAATTGGCGGTAATAGAACGCAAAAAAAAAAAAGTGTTATGCTATTTTACTTAAGTTCGACGGGACATATTAAATCATTACCAAGCCCGAAATTATTCACGGTTTGGGAACCACTGCCTTAGTTGTTTGAGGCAATGATCTTAACCTGCGATGCCAACATCAAGATGGCGCACAACCTGAACATAGTATGTGTACCAGGTTAGGGTTCAGGTTGTGCATCATCTTGGTCCACATATTTCTGGAGTACCAAAAATTCTTCACATAACATTGAAATATTTACCTTCATAACAGAAAACGAAGCCGGTCTTCCTGTATCAAACAGCAGTAAAAATCCATGCACAGTTTGTCTTCTGTTTAAAAGATGTCTTGCACTCTGGTAGGAAGTCATTGTAATATGGATCCTACGACGTTGATTTCCGAGATACGTTTCGACGACGAGGGAATCTCCAACTTCGATTGCGTCTTCTCGATCATCGCTAGCAGTTGAAGACGCATCTTTGTCTTTATCTTCTTCGTTAGGCGGCATGATTTTGCACGAAGAATGATTTAGCAAAGGTAAAAGGGCAATGTCAGCACCGGTACGGTCATCTGAAAAAATATGAAATACAAAAAATGATTACTTTTTAATCAACTGCAAAGATTATATTGTGCAGAACACCAGAAAGTATAATAAGCTATTCCAGAATTTTTCCTTCAATATATTAAAAGATCAATGGATATTAAACTGTTTTTTACCCCAAAATCCTAAATTCTTGTTGTTTTTAGTACTTTTTAGTACTTTCAAATTTACGTGGGTTCAAATGTAATGGAACCATTAATAATACAAGTTACATTTTTTTAACATCTATCTACAGAGGATTTTTTGCAGGTAAGTATGTAGCAAGAAATTCTAAATTTTTCTATTCATAAGCTTCATCAAACAAGTTCAATAAAATCCGTACCAGCCATTGTACAAGCTACAATTCTTATATCAGGATCAATATTGTCTTCACATATTTCTATGACGGTCCTGGAATTTCTGCTGCTTCCTGCTCGCTCTTTGATTCCGTTGATTAATGATCTCATGGCTCGTCTGATTTGAGACTCATGAAATCTACGATTGTAAGCGTATTCTGGTTCCATTACATCGATAAAAGGACATCCAAGGACTGCCGCTAGGTTTTCACCTTCGCTGCGAAGTTTAGTGACCTGAGAAAGAAGGATAAGAATACCTTTGAAATCAATCATTTTTTATTTTACATAGTTTCAGTATCTGGAGGTCAGTCGCCTATGAAAGGGGTTCTTGAACTTTTAGTGTTACGGAGCTTGTGAAAAAGTTGACAATTATTTACGAAGCCCCAAAATAAAATTTAAATAATAGAAACAAAAAACACATTGTTACATAACGAAAGTTCCTTAAGTAAACGACCCCTGAGTTTCTCCCACGAAGCCCTGGGACTCCATATAAAGCACATTGAGAACCATGGCCTATAACAATAGCTCAGAGATCAATCGCTTTTACCACTGAGTATGTTAGCATGAATTTGCAATTAGTAAAATTTTCATCCTGGATTATCATATAAACTATGTATGTATGGAGAAGAACAATTGAAAAATGTATAAACTGAATTTTGTTTCATAAAAATTATAATATCCTACATAAGCACATCGACACACAATACTAGAGTGAGATAATTATGATCAAATTACCTCTTGGTTTGATCCAGCCTGACTAGCAAGTAGGATAGACACGGGAAGACCTTGAAAAGGTGGCGAAATCAATAAAGATCCATCAGATGGCTGCATCACTGTCTGTTCAAGACTTTTTTGGACATATCTGAAAAAAAAATGAAAACAATATATTTGTTATATTCACACTTGTTAAAATTAGGAGCTCAAAGACTTTTATGGGTAAATAGATATTATTTATCAATATTTGCTAACCACTTGAAAAATAATATGAAGTATATCACACATGTTTTAAATAAGACATGCATGAAAAAGTGCAAAAAGAATGTTTCGGTTAGAATTATAAGGTAACACAAAAAAGATTGTTAATATCGAATATGATGAGACTGATATGCTAGATATCTTTTGAAAAATTCAAGTAGCTCAAAATAATAAGCCGTGAAGTAATAATATGGGGCTCCCGAAGTATGCGAACCAAGATGGCGGACATCGGAATGTAATATGTGTACTAGGTTAGGGTTAGGCCATAATTTTAGGTATAAATACTACGAGAGGCTCTTGGCTAGTCTTCGAACTGATAATAGGACTAAAATAAGGAAAATTGGAAAGAAATTATCGCTAATTAACCCTAACCTGTTACCCATGTTACGTTCCGATGTCCGCCATCTTGGTTCGCATACTTCAGGAGCACCAATAATATTTTGACAAACTGGGAAATCAACTCAGTAGGTATAGTGAAAATTATTTCTATACTTCTTATTTAAATCACTGACATTCTTTGAGTCTCCCGGGTCACTACTACCTACTATAACCATAACTATTATATCAACAAACAAAATCCATGCCAATAATTTGGAACAAATTTTATACTTTGGTAATGGTCTTGACTTTGCTAACATTGTACCCGCCACACGCGGTATACAATATATGGACAGGCTACATAGGAAATAACTAGATAGATAGATAACCCCCTACACATCAGTCCTAACTTGCCTAAAACGTTATTCGGAGCAAAATTGTAAAACGCTCTAATAAAAATTGAAACTTACTGTAGAGATTCTAGAGAGGAATACACAGCAATACATCCATGTGGTGAAAACTCAGACGTTTTGAAAGAATTTCTCGGGCTACGGACGTCGCCGTCGATACATCTCAATCTAAGGCTGTGAATACATCCATCCAATGTATAGGCATCCTCTGATGATTGAACCTGAAAAAAGTATTGTTTTTCAAAATTTCTGAAAATTATGAATAGGAAAGAATAACAATTAGCCTATTTCTAAAGAAAATTTTGAAATTGGGTAATCTCTAGTGCTTTATACATAGAGATGACAATATTCAAGCAACGACGTATTCAGAAATCCTTGATTTTAACAGAAATATGCAAAATATCACCATGATGTGGTAGTCTAGTGGTCAAAAAGTTAGACTTGATGGTGGACTCAAAGGTCACCACCTCACCACTGTACAATTGAGTAGGCAGTGTAGGGATGGGAGGTTTAGAGCCTTTCCTGACTTTAGCTCCTTGCTTGGCAGTCGCTGTTTGTAAAGAGCCTCGTTAAGAACAAAAGAGAATAAATATGTTAAAAAACCATTAAATTTTTTTTCAAGTTTCAAGCCTGCGCATTCAATTTCCTGGACATTCTGACCCAAGGGCGTGTGTCATTGCTTTATAGCAACTCGGAGTTGAGCTGGCAAGTGCTCAACTGTAAGCTGATTCCTGAATTTTGTCTTGAAGCGTAAGTTTCGAAATAACATACTCACAGCAGCAGACATGATGCCGGAATAGAGAGATTTCTTTTTATATGCATCATTTTTTAGAATCATACCAAGTCTCTAACAGACCATGAAAATATATTGCATCTATCTGTTCTAAACCCATTGTAAGGCAATTACCAACTTACCGTAATTTCGTTAGCTAATTCTCTTGATAATCCATCAGCACCAAGCAACACAACGTTCAATGTTTTTGAATCAGGTTTCAATTGCCATTTGCTGCTTGGCAATGGCTTGTCTCTTGGTTTTGTCTTCTTAATTTGAGAGACGAGACGCTGAAATAAACATTTTTTATTCAGTTATTCAAAACGAAAACGTATATAAAAAGGAGTGGATCGGGAAAACATTTATAACTATAGATTAGTAGAAACTATTCCGTTCTGAAATAAAAGAATACAATAGCTAATGTATGATAAAAGGCTAATAAATCACGGTTGATAAAATGATTCATTTAGTCTTTCCTCATAAAAATTTTTTGATAAATTTCTTTTTTTTCGACCTGCTCAATGCTCAATTCGGTTTAATACTGATCAGTAATCACATTACAACATACTAGCAAATACTAGTAAACATACTAGTCAGTCTTATTACCATTCAATGACGGAATTAAATGGTAAGGCAGGTTACAGACCAGCTAACATCATCTTACTCAAGGTGTGATGAATTGGTTAGGCAATGCAGAACCGGGAAGATTCCAGTCATTCCAAAAACAGTAACATCCTATGCGTAAAGTAGCTGATTGTATCTAGCTTTTGAAGTGAAGCGCATGAAAGAGTGTCATATAAAAAACATATTATATTATAATTTATTGAGATCTATTTTTTGTAAAGAATGAATAATGGCTAGTAATATGTCTCCACTAGCTACAAAAAAAAAATGTGAATAAAGTGATATATACCTCTAAACATCTATGTCCCCATTCATCTTGATTAGGATACAACATGCTAGAGATATGTCTGTTCAAAATATCATCCCGATCTTTTAGAAGTCTGTCCATTGCAATGTATCTGTTGATATATAAAAAAATGATTTAATAACTAGTAACAAATACTCACTACTGGTATAGTAGGATAGGACCTTCTAGATGAGAAAAACTAATAAAACGAATCAATGATATAACTACAGCTTCTCATTCAGTCCGAGTATCTACTACATGAGTCGAGTAAAAGACAATCGTGAGATGAAGATATGCTAATACATCAAAAATAATGTATATATTGATATATTTTTACAAGATGAAATATTTTTTCTAATTGCAAATATGACAGTTTTCATTTTCTAAGTCGAAGGTTACCAAACATTTCAAACTCACGACACTCTCGCTATAAGTGATACAAATCCCAATGCATGGAAAGAAAAATATGACTTAAGAGCCACTGCTATAACTGTAATTCAAATTTCTATATACTAAACAATTAAAAAGATAGCGGACCTTTTGTCAATTCCCAGTGCATCATGAATACCCATGTGTGTTGCTCCAACAAAAACTTCAGCTTTTTCATAAAGAAGTTCTTGGAAATCCAATTTTGCTTTCGTTGTGATATCAGCCTGAAATTGTGTGTTAAATATTTGTTAATAGATTGTTGAAATAACTAATATATATAAGATATTTGTTAAATGCCAATACAAAATTAACATTTTTCTGCCGTGGAAAAATGACCCGGTGCAGGAAAGGCAAAGATTTCTTTACAGAATATGTCAGATAATATAATCCTTACATAAAAAAAGAATGGAGGTAATAAATTTAGTCAATGCATGTGTCAAAAACATGGCAGAGAAGTGGTTCAGGTTCACCATCAAGATTACACAGTTGTTGAATTGGAACTCACTCTTCGGCAAACCCAGATGTCCCTTTACCTAGGCCATAATAAAAATGAGCGGGCTTTGGTGAAAGAAAAAAAGATTCTTATTCTCCTCAGGCATCGATGACTTCTTGATTGGAGCCTCATTTGAAGAGAATACATACAAACCTTCCATTCAAATAAATATTCACGAAATGAAACTGTTTTGGTTGTTGAAGCATGTTTAATTCCATCTTAACCGCATTTAACTGCATATCGGGTTGATAGACAATGATAAATTTAACATATATCAAATAAATCAGGTCAAATTTGAAAAAACGTTTAGGAAAACAAATGCGGCAACAATCCACAAACCTGGAATTGCTCATAAATAGTTGAAACTTCAGCTTCTGTTAATTCGCTAATGAAATCATATTGCCTGAAATATCGAACAACATCGCCCCACTCACATCCTGGAGTCACCTGGTGTGAATAAATAAGCGAAGTTATTTGAAAAATGAAATAGATTTGACGTATTGACTATGGATTCTTGTAAAAATCTTAATCAAAATTACATTAACTAATTTTCTTTGTTTTTGGGTGGATGAGCATTAAATATCTCATATCGACGCATGAAATCCAAATTGGGCTAAGTCCATTTTTCTAGTTTTGAGAAAAACGCTAAAAACGTTTTTTTTTTGTTTCTTTTTTTTATTTCTCTAATACCTTACATCGAGGATGTCTAGTTTTTATGGTCCACCAAAGTTACAATGAAGGCCATATTTAGATGGTATAGAAAAATTTGTGCTCCGCCCCAATTTTTTTTGGGGGGGTTTTTTTTGGACTTAACCCTTTTTGGCTCTCAATTTTTCTGGACCAAAAACAATTTATTGGACTTAGTGGCCCCTTTATTATGTTATTATAGAGGCTGGTATGGGACTTAGCGCTTTGTATTATATTTTTGAGAGGAGCTATGTCCAAAAAACGGACTTAGCGCTTTGTATTATATTTTTTGAGAGGCGCTATGTCCAAAAACGGACTTAGCCCCAACTTACAATGCAGTTATCCAGAGCTAAGTCCACTATAGTAGACACAGCTCTGTTTATTCTCAAAATGCCCTAAAAAAAGCAGGGTTATGTCCATAGCTGTCTTGAGATCTAGAGCACCTAGAGATAAGGCAAATAGACCAAAATGTAGAGCTAAGTCCAGGAAAATCAGCAATTGAAAAATGTCATTTTTTGGAAAAGTGGACTTAGCACTGTTTGGTTTTGAGGTGTCGATATATCATGTTGTCAGCAATTATGAATAGCCTACAACACAATAATTTATTGTCACAATTAGAAAGTAACCCTTTTTTAAGAGAATTCATGCTAGCAATTTACTTATTTCTCAGGGTATTTATATATTTTGACTTGCTGAGACAGTTTAGTATTCTTGAACTGCATTATGTTACTTCCAAAGAATGAAGCAATGTGTGATTAATTATTCATTCCACAATAAATCATTACACTTGTAGTTGATAAGACAAGAATTATTGTATTGGCAAGCTGGTGATACATCATGAATAATTAAAGAATGAGCGTGCAGGGATATGCAACACATTTGTGGTGAGAATGTCACCAATATTTTTGAACATTACAGAATTTTGTATTTCAATTCGGGTATAATAAACATTGCTACAAAAGCTAATATCATGTAATAAATGTTAAATTTAATTGAGTTTATGAATTTGACAAAATTACTAAGTTTGTGGTTGAGAGTTTTGCATCATATTTTTACAAAATTTTTGAAAGTCGTTTTGATTCTTCCTACAGTCAGTGCATAAAAATCCCCTAACACACAAAGGCAGTGGGAATGTGGCAGTAGTTAGGCATGTGTTGCATAATTTAACATAAAAAGGTATCTGTACCACAATGTTATCTTATTCTTTTTAAAAAAATAATTCATGAACATTCATTTGGCATTTTCTTGAGCATCAGATAATAGAGACTTATAATGTTAAATTTTCAAATGAAAATACTGTAAGATATCTCCTAAAAATAAGAATTGATTATATCCAACTTCAAATGTACTCTAATATTCGATTCATTTCAAACAACCCTGATCGTAGTGATGAAAAAGTATCCTTACATTTATTTTACTCCATAAAGCCTCTTAGTCAGTTAAGAAGTTTAAGATTGCGGACATCATGGCAGACCCATAATTATTAGCTTTTAATTATAATTTATATAAAAACAAACATGTCATTGCTATATAAGTACAATCATCCAGACATAATAAAAAACCTAAGTCATCTGCATATGAAAATTCTAAACACATAATCTTCAAATTTAAAATTATGGTTTATCCCCAAGGATGATCAAATCCAATGCAAATATTTCAAAACTTTGCCTAGCAATTATTTTCTATTTTGACTCAAATAATTCGCAGGATTATAATTTTACATTGAAGTAGGTTCATGATGCATTTTAAACATTAACTGTATTAGTAAATTTGGTATTAAAATTATTTTCACAGCAAAAAATACCAAATTTCATAAACACATAAACGATACAATTTATTTGAATAATCAAAACCCAATTTCAGAGTATCATAAATTTGGAATTGTTTCAGACAGACAATTCGGACATTTATATATCAATAACATATAATCTCGCGGTAACAGAAAAAAAGTTACAACACCAAGCCAATATTATACTGAAGCTCTTACCTGTGGAGATTTTAGCAATGTTTCTTTGAAAGCAAGTTTCATGTCATGCCTGTGTTGTTTCAATTCCAATTCTCTTCTATGATTAAGATATGCATTCTCTGCGTCCACTGTTCGCAATAATTCTAAAGGTATTCTTCTATCTTCCAGTGAATTTACATGATCATTTTCATACCATGGTGTAGCGCTACCTTCCAGTTGTATAAACCAGCTGAAAACAGTAATAAAAATCTTCTATTATTAATGATATCGATTATGACAATATCATGAAAAAAAATCTTTTGATGCCATATAATAGATTAGGTACAGTCTAGCTTATACTTATTTGCATCCATCAAAAATCGTTTGTATACAATTTTACTAGGTCATTTATTTATTGGTTTGGTGTTATCTCAAGAATTGAGATCCTTCGAGGTAGCATTGAATGGAGAATCCATCAATGTTTTATCTTGTGGACAGGCAGATGTTCTTCTACATTGTACGCAATTATTCTTTCGCATATGTATATATGTGAGTAGATGATTTAGAAATTTAAATTTACACTTTAGTTGAGGTTATATTCACACAGTGAAAGTATATTATCAAATTTCACAGTACATAATAACAGATTTTATAAATAAAATGCTAAATCTAAATCGCCAATATTTTTATAAAGGATTCGAAAAAGATTTGTTGGAAGTTTCAAGTTGTACTTAACAGAAATGGTTGGTTTTGATCAAAAGGTGCAATAGTGATTAATTTCAGCATTTTCCTAGTTCGACAATTGTCTAATTTCATGATCCATCGTATCTATGGAATAGCATGGGAATTACTTTGAAAAATTTCCATTTCCATACACAAAACAAAATCATGTAAATATGCTTTCTTCCTGCAATCATATGAACTGTTTCATCTATAAGCCATTAACGAAAACTATTTATCATAAAACTAAAAGTACAGCCATTCAACCATAGATAATAATGATCAATGATGCATACAGACAAGAAAAACAATTTATAACAATTTTAAGACAGTTTAGTGAAGGAATGAATTCCTACATCAAATAGGAGAAAATAAATGCTGTTTATATAGTACTGAAAAAACTTCTGATTGCTTGGGTCCAAAGGAAAAAATCTTTATCTAAATAACATGCAACAAAATGCTATATTGAAATTAAGTTTTTGATAGTATAAATTGATCTGTCTGTTTCTTGTAATATAACGTACAAGACAAAACTACTCCTTATCCAAAATATTTATCACTGAAAATGTATTATGAAACCCCTTCAGAAGCACCTTTTCAAAATAGCATGAATTTGTAAAATTTTCCAGAGATAAATTTTTCTGCAACCGTGGTTCAAAGAATGGACTTATAACAAATAAGTGGATAAATGATTATTTCAGCAAAATTTTATTTATACTGTTTGTTTTTAAATTGGCATCCTAGTGCTCGTTAATTCACCTTTTTTTTTTTAAATGGTACTATTGGCTGCAAGTGCCCAACAAATATTGTGGTAATGTTACTACCACTTTCACGGTCATATTTTTGATTAATTATCCTCTGTTTTCAAAATTATAATATTTCAAAGTGCTAAAAATATTTATTTGCAACTGAAATTTTTAAAAGAGAATGATAAGTCAGTATCAATGAATCTCAGGCCTTGATTTCATGTTGAAATAAAATAAAATTTTAATTGTAATAAAATCATTACAATTGAACTCAAATACCTGTTAAAAGTGGGTTGTTTTGTCATAATGGAGATTGTATCCTGCCATGTAGCACCGAGTAATGATAGATCTGGTAGAATCATACGAAAAGCTCTCGACAAATATCTCAAATAATCGTTTTGCATTGACATTCTGTATTCATCTCGCAGTCTATTGACGTGTTTGCGGAAAATTTTTGATGCAAAGTTTTTACCTTCAAAATGAAATGTGGAAATTAAAAGATATATATGGAATCCAATGGTCATTGCTCATCATTGTAAACTGCTTGTCTGAGGAAGTCTGATTTTGGTCGGCCGAAGCGTTACAGGAATACATTTGTGTTAGTGTGTAGCTGGACTTTTAAATTGCATAAATATATGGATTGTAAATTGCACACTTGGTTACATATTCTGAAATTCATACTGTTTTAATTTGTTTTTGATAAACTCTTTTCTATGGTTAGGAAATGAAACCAGTATTTCAAACATACAGAGAGCACTACTCAAAAATTCAGACACAATGGTATCACATCTGCGCCGGTAGAGCCCTAGAGTTTTCTGAAGAGATCGACAGCAAGTGACAGTCAAAAAAAAATTGTTTCTCTTCAATTAAAATTCAAGCAAAATTTCTGGTGAAATAGCAGATCCATAGAACTCAGAGTAAAAATAAGGTAAATAGCCTCCTAGTGACCTCAATCTGAGTCTCTCACTTTTATCAAGAACTGAATATCTGAGTTCGATTGGAACATTAGTTGTGGAAAAAAGAGATCTCTTCACAACAATAACAATAAGACAAACCTTAACAAGAACAACCGACAAAAATTTAGCCAAGTGATCCATATATAAATTTTGTGTCAAATAACTGAAGAAAGCTTACCCAGAAGTTCTACATATCTTTTATATGCTGGCTTATCTTCCAAATTTTTCCTGGCAGTTCCCCAATTCTCATGATATGATTTCACGACCTCCGAAAGCAGTTTTTTCAAATCTTCTGATGCCTGACCTAAGATATCTTGTCGTACCTTTGATGCATCTTCATATGAAACATTCTAAAAAAAGAAAAGATCAAAGCTCAAATACATGGATGCGAAGAGCGCACATCGGTACCAGTAGGATGAAGTCCGAGAGTAAAAGGTTTGCTGAGAAAAACAATGGACAAGCAACATGAAATAAAACATGCTTAGATTGAAATAATAATTTTGGATAAAAAAATTTGTTCTTGAAGGACTAAAAAGGAAATTTGAAAATATAGGTTTTCAACTGACTTATTCCATCTTTGAGTACTGAATATTTGAGAGCAATTGGTCAATTCGTTGCTGGGTGTGGTGATGGGCGTTGGATCACAATCAAATATTTTCAACCTGTGATACCAACATAATTATATCTAACCCTTCCCCCAATTCCAGTTTTATCATAAAAATCCCACCTTTGTCTTTGACCTTGCTTTATCAATCATTTGAGCCAGAACCATAAAAGCAAGTTCCACATTTATATTTTCCTCAGCAGAAGTTTCTACGATAGGTATCCATCCCTTCTTTCCACCAGGAGAACTTGCAAATTTCTCTGCCTCTTTCGCATACGGTTCCACACGCTCGTCACATTTTGTCAGCACCAATACTATCGGTTTCTTGGTTTTAGACAGGTAATGATAGCAGTTCTGAATGAATTTCACCTGGTAATAAAAATTGAGGATTTTGAATGTGAAGAACTGAGATTTTATCAAATATATATGAAATAATATCTTCAATTCGATACAATTCAATTCGAGTTTAAAATGTCAATTCATTTTTAATATTTTTGAAAACGTTCAACTAGTTCTGTGATCAAATCTAAATACAAATATAACACTGATTTAAAATTCACAATATTCTGAAGATGTGTATTAAACCCAAAAATATGTAAAACGAATCAATTATTCGAATGTATATAAATTTCATTATACTTGATATAAAATAATTTTAAGTTTAGGAGTACTTTAAAATATTTTTATTTGAAAATTAAATATTTCGAGATGTCAGACAAGCAGATTAAAACGTACGTTATCTCAACTGAAAACAAAAAACACAAAGAAAACAATGACATTTATATATAGATGTCGTTTTAGATGTGATCAACATGAACATATAGTGATTTATGTAATTTTCCACATAAACTTGCCCCCAATTTGGAATGTATTCAATATTCTATCTTCTAAATATTTTTTCAGAATGTTCAAAAAAAAAGCTAGAATGAAATCTATTAATACTGCCAGGAATCCAGACATTACAATTTAGTATACTCTTAGCAACCTGCCTTTTCCACATAAAATTAATCTTGCTAAACAACGTGGTCACAGACTCGCTATGGTTAAATATATTATATTGAATTGCTAATCTTAACAGAGCAATCTCGATTTATCCTTGATGTATTGAACATAGGTATTCAATATAATAACCAAATATTGAGAAATTTAAAGTAATCAACTGAACATGTGTCACCATATTGTTGTTTTACAGCGTTACACGACCACACCCATGATGCAAGAGCATAGGCCTATCTATTGTACATATGATCAGAATGATGTGAAGCAAATGTACTAATGTATCAGTATAAGGTCACCTATATTGAAAGAACCCATATGCCTTCATTAAATACACATAGACACGATTCTTTATCAAAGAAACCCCACCCATTAGTCTAGTTCAACCGATTAATCCAATGTACAAAGCTTTCTTGACGTAGCATTACGTAGTGTATTTTTTTTAACATAAACCCCATGTAGAGTACTCAATGGAGACAAGTATACTTGACTTAAAGAAAATACCAGATCTTTAAGTTTAGATTGCACAAGTTATGCGATAATATATAATGTCAATGTCAAACTGGCGATGTATATAAGCTACATTATTACAACATAATTCATAATACTCTTTTTAGAATGCATTTAGCAATGTTAAAAACACAGAAAGGTAAGAGAATATTTCACTCACGAAAGACTGCTAGTCAAATTGAAAATATAAATGAGTAGTTTATTACAAAATCTTGTTCTAAAGAGATTTCTAATGGATTATTTTAGGAATGATTCTGACAAGCAGATCCATTTAAATTATACACACAAGACATGCATACCCTTCACTCAGTTTAAACTTGGGAATCATGTAAGTAAAATCATAATATATCCATGATTTGGACTAAATAAACGCTCGTAAAAATGACCTATGTCATTTTTTTCAAGCATTATAGAATTTTGATTTGTACCAATATTTCAATTTCTAAATTTTTTTAAAATTGCATTCATAATGTCTGAGAATTCTGAACTAGCCATCAGGGAGACAAATCCTAAATTTTTTTAAAATTGCATTCATAATGTCTGAGAATTCTGAACTAGCCATCAGGGAGACAAAGACATGATAATGATGATAAATCACATTCAGAAGGTCATATTTTCATCAGTTAGTATGGTAGAATTGTTTCCTAATTGCACTGCAAATCAATAATGAACAACTAATGACAAATTGCCTTTACAAGATAGCTGAAATGATCATTGATAAATAGCTTTCAAAAATCCCAAACCTTAATAAATCAAACCTTCAAAAATCTCTGGTTAGACTTCAAATTTCATGGTTGATTTAAATAGTGTATCACTATCAGTGAACCACTCAATTCAGATTTTGATATTATGAATTCGTAATAACAAATGTGATTTGGGGGTACCCCTTTGTTTCAAGACTTTCTATGACTGCATTATTTGAATATTACCGGTCTAGAGGATGTAGTTATGAACAAATATGCCTTCAACGACTTTCTAATGTGGAACAAATATTACAGCTATTAGGAAGTCGTTAATTGTAATTGCATTGTTGGTAGACAGACATTATAGAAAACTTATGAAAGAAATAGTTTACTGGCTTTTAATGTATTTAGAAATATGGCAATAATTAACCATGAGTGTGGCCACCCATGATCAGGCTCTTGGGAGAGAAAGGTTTCTGAATAAATTGAAATTCATAGATTTTCCTGGCAACCAGAAATGGCCATAACTGAACATTCTATTATATTCGAAAAAATATTATTGGTCAGTTCAAGCACAGGAATTTGCCCACTGTAATTTGACAAATGGAGAAATGGCACATAACAATTCCAGCATACAATCAGATAAAATCATGATGTAGGTCTACACTAATACTCTCTTTCACAATAAAATTGAACGATTTTCATGAAACGATAAAATTAGATGAACAGTTTCTCACTTATTATCATTTTGAAATCTAATATTCCTTTGTTATCAAATATATTTTGAGTGTTACTTCACTCCTTCTTGGCGGTTATTCCGTCTGCCGCAGAATATAGCAGCAATAGAACGAGCGTCGGAAATAATCAGCTTGTTTGTTGCAGTTTCGCGATTGCGCAATCAGCGGGCAGACGACTTTCGATAACGCAAATAGGAAAACTAGACTTTTGCCTACGGCCGTAAATGAAATAGTTGTTATTATTATGGGCTATAACGCTATATAAAAAGGCCGTACATACTACGAAATACATACACATCAATCATTTTTACATTTTGTAGATAATGCTGTATCAACCTTACCATACTAAGAGTGTTTTGGTTTGATAACTTAGGCCGATTGCAGCATTACGACTAGCTTCAATTCCGCCCGGGGCGTTGCCTTTTTGTCTTAGAGCTACTTAAATGATGATAGCAAAGCAATACAAGATGGCGATATTGTTTGTGAAAATCCCAGACTAAACCATCACAAAAATATCCGCTGAGTAGCAAAACTGAAGCGCCGGTAAAGTTGTTTTACTCGCTTCAGAAGCATTTAACCACAGCCCATAGTAAAATCGTGGTTCAAATTGCCACGTCTCGCTGCGGTAGCTGAAATGTTGTTGCTCACAATTGTTTATTTCACAAAACCATATAGCTGTTGTAAAACGAAAGTCGTGCTCGTACATAAGGAAATTCACCGCTATCGACTGACTCGTGAAAACTAACGCGAGACAGATTCCAATTAACTTGAATGAAAGCACGCGCTTTCAATTTAATGACGGTTACAATTACAAGTGAATGAAACAGAAAATGGCATCATATTGAGAAACCTTAGGTTATTATACTAGCGTTCATGGGCAAATTGAAATTATTTGGTGCATACAAACATTTAGTTGAAATTTGTGACTCGAAGTATGGAAATCCCATTATTGGTTGTTCACGAAAGTTTTGTAATATTATGATGAAGCGACGCAATGTTTTCCGACTTAATGCAAAAAGGTCGACGAAATTTACTCTTAAGTAATGATAATTCTATTAAAATTTTCACTTGGAATTGAATAAATATATTTGCATATTCGAAATCTAACTTACAAGAAAAATAATCACTGATAATATTAAAATGGAGACCTGTAAGGAAAAAGTAACCGTCGAAGAATGTCATTTTTTAACCAAGTTTTTGCAAACATGGCTCTGTAAGGCAACCACCGATACGCAATGATTTGAGTACCAGAGGTACCGGAATACATCCGAAATAGTCCAATCCAACGCTTTAACCATTGAATGATTGCGCCAATGTCTCGGCAAATTCCCGTACGATAATTGTATATCTGAAACTCACAGCTTTGGTGCTACTTCGACCGAATAAAAACCAAGACGATTAGCAGATTTTGTATGCAAATGCGATTATTTCCCTCTAGCTATTTACATGACGGGTTCTCAACAACACGGGTGGTCAGATGAATTTCGTCTGCCCATTATCATATGACAGTCTGAATCCGCTGACCAAATTAATCTTATGCACGATTTTCTCAAATTCCCCAATTCATCAAATTTCAAGCATGTTGTATCAATACTCACAAATATAATATTTGATTATCTTCGTGACTTGCATGTTATAATGAAGAAAGCGACGGTGCAGAGTTACGTCGCAGCTAAAATTCTCACAACACATGAGCAAAAAGTAAAATGAGACTTCACGGAACCCGTAAGTAAGTATGCCTATTACTTTCTCATTCAAGTTTTGTACATAATTCCGATATACTTGAAAATTTGTATAACCTACCTATGACCTCTGGGCTATTTAGGCGAATAATACAATATAAATCATAACATAAGTAACTTATGCGGTTACGCGCCATATTGTCAAAATTTGCAAAGAGCGAGAGTATTATCGAGAAAAGGCTTCGGAATTTTCTTGTTATTTGCGTCATCAGTTACGCAACATAAAACAAAACCAAACAAACAGGACTTTACGGCAATTCATGGTATGCGACGTGCCTGTTAAAATTGTGAAAAATATTTCTACAAGGCGAGTAAATGCCTCTGTAGTATTTCCCTCGATATTTAGATGGACTATTAGTATTAGGACAGCAAAATTTGGTCCATTTCGGCACAAGTCGACACGACTTGGAACGGGGCGCCGATGACTGAAAATCATCACAAACTACCAAGGTCAATCCCGTCTGATTGTAGATGACAAATGCACCATAAGTTGCGTAATAGCTTTCCAATAAATCGATTTCGACCGTTATTTCCAACATGTCATCAACAGTCCACAAATTTTCAGATTAGTCTCATGAGGGTGAGTATGGAACCATAACAATCGATGAACAATGGTAAAATATTGTTAACAATACAGAAGTTGGTCATAAATATCGTACACATTCATATTATCGAAGTTCGAGGCGCAGACATGGAAGTAA